AGAAGCCCAAGACTAGTTTACATAATGAAATTTTGAGATATTTAAATTTTTGACCTTTTTTCTTAAGTTTTCCTAATTTTTTGATCATTTTTGTTACACAAGATCCTGTGATCTAATTGGTCGATCATATTAACCTGTGATATAGCAACCTGCGATATTTAACATTATCCTTTTAAAAAATTTTTAAATAACTTCAAAAATAAAAACTTAGAGATGCCATTAGATTTATACTCTTAAATATAAGAGCTAATAAATATTATAACAGAATACTGTGAATTTAAAGATAATAGAGCAAAAGTTCTTAGAAAAAAGCTTTTTTAAAAGTTAACTTTATCATTTTACAGTAGTACAAAAGAAGAAGATCATGTAATAAAGTTTTATTTATTAAAGTAGAGCAATTTTATATTATATATTAATTATTTTTTGAAATCAAAAATGAGCTAAGAAGGTAGTATAAATCCACAATTCAAGGCATGATTTACTATAAAGACTATTGGTTGCAATTAAATATAATGTTTCTATTAATTATTTTATACAAATCTATATACTATTTAAATAATATTTTTTATATTAGTTGATACAAATTAGTGAATGTTACTGTGTTCATCCTTTATAATAATAGTAGCAAAACTATAAATATATGTTTTTAGTTGTATTTCTTTTAAAAGTAATAGTTCAACTACTAATAAATTTTATACTATTAACTATAAATATAAAGAATTTTAACTAGATCAAAAGAATTGTACAGTTTATTATGCATTGTATATTGCCAATTATAGACTCAAAAAATTTTACAAGAGCTTAGACATAATCACAAATGACCAAAAGTATTTTTTCTACTTTAACTATTATCCAACTAACAGAAAAAAACTTATTTTTTTCATATATCATTATCAATTTGAATTAATCTTAGCCTAGAAGGCAGAAACAGTAGATGGACATATAATTGTCATCAAATATTTGCAAGAATATAATATTGAAGCACATTAATTTTGTGTAAAAAAAAATTTATACCAAAAATTTTACATATTGCCAATTCTAAAGAGCTTCAAAAATTTTAAATGATCATTACTGACTACATCTTCAGCACTATTTTAAGTAAAAAAATAAAATAAATCTATAGTTTTTACTAAAGATATATGAAAATATTAGTCCATTATAAATTTTTTACATAAGCAAAATTTCATGTTTGGCAATCTTAATCCTGCAAATATCATTGCAAATAAAAAAACAGAAAACCAAAAACAATGCTAATTTCATTTGATCAGTATAGTTAGCACCAGATCTATAAGTATCCTCTATTAATTAAAAATTACAATATGCTGTCAGGAGTGGGTTCTGGGTCTTTATTCAATAAAGTATATAATACATATTTTATAACTAAATTATAGGTATTCTTAATGTTGGAATAGGAGAAAATTTGCATTCCACCATTCACAGTTTAAAGATAAATCAAAGATCTCTATTGTACAAGATCCTTCAAAGAAAGATTCCAAGTCATCTGCAACTTTATGCCACTGTTTTTTAATAATAATAATTTTGGTAACCTAGAAGTTTTTTGTAGCTAGCATTTAGAATATTTAAGGAAAAATTGGTCATAATGTATGGTTTAGGAGAATTGTAGGTTTTCATCTACTTACATATTACATATATGATAATAAAATCATCTATTTGCTTTTGTATATATTTAATACAAGTGCTATTTTACAGTCATATTTATATTGTTTACTGTTATTATTTTAATATCTATGATTCAAATTAAAGAAATATTATTGAGGTCAATTAATCAATAGATTCTATAGCATTATGCTAATCTTAGATCAATCAGTTTTTTCATTACTACTATGTAATTTTAGCACTAAAATAATTTGATGAATCAATGCCCTTCTATTGCTACTCATTTAATTAAACTGGTGTGATAGTAATTTTTATCTGGCTAGCATTTAACCAGTTAACCAATTAACATTACATATAATCACAATTACTAATCAAATTGAAGCTCTAGGATGACTACTAAAATTGCATAAAATCCTAGCATCATTATTCTAAAAAATTCTGACATCAATATTAGAATTAGGGTTTAAGGATATTTTGTTATTTTATAGTACATGATCTTGGATTTTAATTTGGTCCAGTAGCGAAATTTTGTATGGTGGTGATGCTAAGATGAACTGTGCTCAGTTTGTGCGCAGATTCCTGATCTACAAATCAGATCTAAGATGATCTCAAGAATCAGGTGTTTAAATGAATTTCGTTCACTCCATTGATAATCAGTTCACTAACAATACAATTTACCGACAATCAATTCACAGACAAGTTCATTTCACTGATAATACAATTTATCAACAAAGTAACTCTGGTCATTGATATTAGGGTTAGGTTAGAATTAAAGTTAAGGTTAGTGTAATTTATAAAAAGAAACTTGTTAGTAAAACATACTATTAGTAAATTATATTGTCGGTGAAATGAACATGTCAGTAAATTGGTTGTCGATGAATCATACTGTTGGTGAACTAATTTTTGGTGAAATAGACTAAAAGTATTTTAAATTAGGTGTAATATAACAAATCAGAAAATTTTAAAACAAAGATTTATTTTGCTAAAAATTAGTTATTTCTCAAAATCCTGTATAGTAACCCATTTTTGTATTTTAACAAAAAGTTTTCTTGAGCAATTTTACTATATTTTTCCTAATCTTCAGCTTCAAATACTAACTCTAACATTAATGAATTTTTTTCCTGCATCACAGAACTGAGCACAGATTCAAAAATTGCAGTTGAAAATTGTGACACGGTCAATTATCTCCAGCCAATCCAAAGTATTCTAGCTAGTGATGGGCTGCTACGCATGCTGCACAGGCTGTGCAGGCATTTTTGAGAAACTGTGCAGTATAATTTTTATAATTCAGGCCAGCTGGCATAATTCTGGTCAGCTTTATAATACAGGCTAGTGTTCCACAGATCTGATCCGAAGATCTGAATCCGAATTGGATCCGACCTATCAATTCGGATCCGAATCTGTGATTTATAAAATCCGTCGAATTCAGATCCACATAGGGGTCTGAATCGAATACCCGATACTATACTGTACACTTATTGGTCAGTAATAATATATATAAGTATGCTGATCAAAACGATAAAAAAAAAATCGTTACTTGCTCCAACACTAGAACAAGATTCACATTATTTTTTAAATAAGTTTCATACAATCTTATTAAATAAGTCTTATATGATCCTTTTAAAAAAGTCTTATACGATCCTTTTAAATAAGTCTTATATGATTCTTTTTTTTTTTTTTTTGTCTTATAATTTTTTTTTTTTTGAAACAAGAACATTATAATGCCAACTCCGTCTATATCTTCTTATGAGGAAGATTATAAATCTATACATGGAGAAGAGTATAAACCAATATATGAGGAAGAGTATGAACCAATGTATGAGGAAGAGCATGAACCAATGCATGAGGAAGAGCATGAACCAATGTATGAGAAAGCGTATGAACCAGAGTTACAATTAGATGAATCTGAAGTTAGTAAATCATCGCAAGTACAAAAGTCAAATAGCAGTAATTCTACACATACCCGGTAATTAAAATGTTATAATTGTTTAATATATTGTTTAATATATTGTATTAATAGTATGTTTTATAGATCTTTTGTATGAAAATACTTCAAAAAAAAAAAAAAAGAAAACCACGCAATTTGTGAGATTTGTAATCGGAAGTTAGCATACCAGCATGGAACGACATTAAATTTTAAAAGGCATCTTAATTCTTACAAGACCAAAGTATCTGAATTAAAGAAATTGAATGTAAAAGAAGGCATCTCAGTTGTGGATATGTTAAATAATAAGTCAGGCATAAGTTTTTATATAAATATAAATAAATAAATAAAAAATAAATAAAATAAATAAAAAAAAAAACTAATTTAAATAAAT